TCAGAGGACCCGTCGGTATACTACCTGCTATGCGTGGGTCTCGTGAGACATTGGTGGTGCGTGTACTGGGCCGCCTACAGTCACCGCGACTGGCTCTATTTTCAAGGACTGGGAATCCGAACCAAAAAAAGCCTACTGACACATAAAAACTGAATGAACCGGAACACTTTAGCGCGATGTTTTCGTTTTCCTCTTCGGCGGTCTGTTTGTTTAGTTGCGCGTGTCTTTTCCATGATGAGTTTTTCGCGTTGTTCGTCTGTTGCGAACATACATGATATTGAAAGACCAGCTGGGCGCTGGAGCTTAACACATATGGTACATTGTTGTTGTTGTTGTTGTCTTCACATTAAACTCGTGTCAATTGCTAACCCCAACATCTAGCAAAGACTCGGTCCGTGGTCACAAAAAATGCTAGAGCCATCAGAAGATCTAAAGAACACGCGAACTATTAGCAAGAAAAGGGTACACAAGCCCGAAGAGGTACACCTACAATCCCTGCAGCACGTTTGCGTTCTCAAAACTGAACTACACACTACAATTCGTCCCGCACTTTACCAAAATGAATGTCGACTACAGCGTACTGCTGTCGGAAGTGCTGTCTGTACAATAGCAACACCATGGTATAAGCATGGTACACAAGCTCGGGGAATGCAGCTGCTGTCTGAAGTGCTGTCAGAATGCGTCCGTGGACATACAATGAAGAAGAACAACCAACCACCGCCATCATTGCATTTGACAATCACCCAAATCTATCCAGATCATCTGTGTTAGACACAGCAGTGTAAACATCGACACTGACTAGGAATCGTTCCACATTTAAGGGGTCTTCCACGATGCATGTACACAATTAAGGCACCCGGGGTATCCGCGTCATCTCTGCCGCGTCTCTCTACAAAAACAGTCACGTCATCACACACACTCCAACACCTTTATTCAGGAAAAAAACGGAAAATAATTGACAACACAAGAGATCTTTGTCCGTGAGTCACGGTTCGATGCCGTCCCCATGCTCCGGTTCCGCTGCTCCCGTGCCGCTGCTCCCGTGCCGCTGTGGCCAGTCCTAGCACGACCGAACTCGACCCGCTCCGTTCGTAAACGCTCTCGCTGCTGTCCTTCCCAGTCGGTTCCTTCGCTTTCTCCCTCGTTGCACTTAGGGTTCTTGGTCTGAAAATTCTCGCGCCGAAGGGTCAACCAGCCCAATCAGCTCGTCACCACCTGTCCCCTCCTCCTTTGATGGCAAAACCAGGTTACTGAGACAGTACAGCTCCCTCTAGCAAACCTAGGGCCGTGCACATAGTGCCCGTCCACCTTTCTGATGGCGTCTGCCTCCGCGCACAAAGATGAGATGGGCATTGCTGCCTACACCGACGGCCAGGAGGCCCGCGCATCTGCACCTTTGTACCTGACGCACCAGTGCCAACCCAACTCCAACACTACGCACGCCTCGCGGCGGATGCACCGCAGCAAGAAGGTATCGGTCCCTTGAGGGTGAGTCTAGCCCTGCTCGCTAGAAAGACCCCCCCCGTCGCTATGGGTCATGCGTAAGCATAACCTTGCCGAGGCAACGAAGGGGAAGACGGGACAGTTAGTTTATTGCAACTGAATCAAGGGGAAAAAAAAAAACCACCAACATTCAAAAGCATTGGCATCCGTCGGAATTCGATAATGTGGCGACGGATTGTTTTCTTTACCAGCCAACTACATACATCACAGCAGTTTTCTTTGTTGTGCAGTCCCGGGTGTGCCGCAAACACAGCACAGCTGTCAACCACAGATGTAAACAGCGGTTTTTCATGGTCGCAGAGGGGACCAAGGCTTTTGATTGATGTTGCTTATGGTAACACACCACGCGACACAGAGGTCCTCTCGCACAACTCTAGCAGCGGTCAATTATATTTCAACTCCGAAAAATCGAAAGATTCGAAAATTTAAACATGTGGTAAGCAGTCGATGTCTGTCACCGTTCTTGGGCACGTTGAGCGTCTCTTTGATCCGTTGTTGGCGTTTGCGTGAAAAAGTCCCACAGACCATACATGGGAAACACGATCACACAAGAAGCGTCAGTGTTCAAACGCAGCGGACTACAGCAGTAGGACCTGCAGCAAAAATGCCACTAGCCCAAAGCACACACTCGCGCACAAGTGGAAAGCCACGACGGGACAAAACAAAATACCCCGCACATGATGCAAATTCCAGGAAAATTGCACGCAAAACCCACACTACCGAACGTCATGACGTTGAGATGCAGCCATGCGACCGCGATGGCATTGCTTGGCCATGTCCTCTGGCGTCGCCCCCGGGAGACCTAACTCCCGCAGGGGAACCTTGTTACATGTACGTGAAGATGTGCACCGGAAAACTATCTGCTGCTGATGATGACGATGCGGTTGATGCTGCCAAGCGGACCCTGAGATTCATTTTTTCCCCAAATAGGTGTTCGAGCGACAAAAAGAGCGAGATTGAGCAGCACTGTATGCGATTTCGTCGTATCATATAATAGGTCCACTGGTACTGCCCACACGCAAATATTTACAAGACCACCGAAATGAACACAACCGTCGGACGCACCCTATGACTCAGCGGGGATTTAGAGTAGCTACAATGACCCGTAGTAGCAGTGGCGGCGCGAGAGCACACATACCGAACGCACGTGAGGACACCAACAGAAGGCGCCGGAGGCCGGGAACAACAGAGTTTTTTAACACCAGTAACAGAGAAGGCCTCCGGCTCAAATCAAATCACCCTTGTCCCCGAGCGTATGTATCGATTGCTCGGGGGAGAGGATACATTATTCACAATAAAGAAGGAAGCACATCAGCACCCAACAACTCTCATGGCAACCGAAATACAGCACAAGATACATAGATAGATAGGCTAGCGAGACCCTCGTCCCTCTTGAGATACTGGCGAGCTTCTGGCTGCTGCTTCGATACTGTATGCAAATAACTCTCCAGAGTAACGTACTCTCTCTGCACGTCACCTCTCGCTACAAGCCTCGACGTAACCTTAGTGGGCCTTTCAAATCCATCGTCCGTCCAATCGTTACCCACCTTTGGCGTTGATCGTGTGTTGCACTGACTGCTTTCTTGCCCGAGTGAACGTCCGCATCCAACAACCCGTAATTTTTTCTTTTCATGGAATCGCTCCAGAGGTGCCGACACTCCGACGCCATGGCCTTGTTGTAGCGCTTGGGAGAACGAAGGTCGCTAGCTTCACTGCCCGGGACTTCAAGGAGTTGATCCGGCGTTCGCTGGTCGTGCAGCGTGGCGTCCATAACTTCCCGGTCCGCGAGAAGCGTTGCAACAGGATATGGTGTGCCTGCTCCTCCCACTCCCCCCGGGTCCACTGCTGAAAGAAACCCCCCCAGCTCCCTGCGCTCCCCATCCACAGCGCTCCGAGCCTCCAGCGTAGACACCCGAGTGTTCCTGTAGAGAGTGTTCCTGCCCAGCGTCGAGATAAAGCCCGTGCTGTGCCTGGTGTCCGATCTCGTGTGGCCATGCAGCCGCGAGTCTTGCATACCCTCTGTCTTCTTACCCGGGCCAAGCTGTAGAATAGCGTGTGCCGTGATCGGGGGCCTCGCAGGGTACGGCGGCGGCAGTGGCTGGCCCGGAGAGGGCAACGGCAAAGGTGATGGACACGCCAGGAGGCGGCTGGCCCTCAGGGGCAACGGCGAGGGCGACGCCGCAGGCGGTGGTACCGTGGCAGGAAGGGGCGTTGAAAATATGCGACGGGGGGCGGTGCGGGAGAGGGCGTGGTTGCTGGCGGCGGCGTTGCGATGGAGAGCGACTGTCCAAAAGAGGGCGACGGCGAAGATGCTAAACCAAAATTGTTCGAGATGACCGGCTCGTGGGCGTGGGAGATGTCGGCGTAGCGGGGACACCAGAAGAACCTCCCTCACCGGCTGGCGCCGTCGCCACCCACGCCATGTTTTTGGTTTAGACAACGCGGCCGGGCTGAGCTTTCAGGATTTTCACGGTACCGCCCGAACGTTTGCCGCCGCCAATCTGGCCTGGTCATCGAGCTTCGTACGGCGCTTCTCGGGAATGTAGCCAGGCTGCAAGAAGGCAGCAAGCACCCACAACGGCGCTTGCTCCCCCCACTGCGTTCGTCTCCGATTGGTTGATCGCGTCAGCAGCTACTTCATCCATCCCAGTCAAAAGTCGTCACCGCGCTTGTAAGGCCGAGCATGGAAGAGAAGTCGACGTTGAAGACACACGTCCAGCGCTGCTGCGACTGGCCACAGCCGCCTTCATGATGCGCCAAATGGCACTCAAATAATGCGCAACATCAGGCGGAGTGCAGAAACGTCGAAAGAGTCTCACGAGTCCACTCGCTCGCATCGCCGACCCGGAAGAACTCGATGCGCCCATAAGGACGCCGCCAGCAACTATTTCGCTGCGGCCAAAGCGTCGGGCGTCGGGCTTCCTCTCGCGTCCAGGGCAGACCGCAGATCAGTTCCACCGCACTTCCTGGTGTTCCGCCGCTTCTTTCAAGCACATGCTGATGGCAGCTGCTGTTGCGACGGCTGCCATGTTGTAAATAACCACGGGAACATGGTATCTTGAAGCGCCTTTATCCACGTCCTGGTTCCGGTTCACAATTGGAGGTTGACCTCCTGCCCGCTGGTCGATGCTCTCCCTCTCCTGCCTCGCGGTGCACTGGCTCTCTTCAATAGGTCTAGAAAGATATTTGCGGTTGTACTTAATGAAGGGCGCAGCAACAGGCAAGAAGCGCGTTTTCAAAATGCAGGGCCTCCTCTCGAGGCCTCACATGTACGCACGTTCCCTGCCCCCGGCCTCAACCCCCCTGTCCCTTCCTGTTTTTCGCCGGCTGTAATCGGCTGATGCTGCTCGGCTGTGCTCTCTCAGGGTTACTTACGGTTCCAGAGGGCTCTCTTAGATGTCAAAGGGGCACCGCCATATCTTGAATGGTGTCCAGGGGGACGACGGGTTGTTCTCTCGTCTGCGGAGATGAGGCAATTCAACTCGCCTCAGGCAGGCCTGTCGTGTCCTCTCTGCCTGTCTCCCTCTCCCTCTCTCTCTGCTGCTGTCAAACTTGGATCTACCGTCGATCCCTGGACAGAGCGTGTGTAGCGATGTTTTCCCGGCCCAGGTGATCATGACGAATGAAGATTTCTTTGTCATTGACTGACAAGGTTACACGTGTGGATGACCATGACCCATATGGAACATGTAGCTGCCACCGCTAGCATGCGCGCCCTGCCTGACCTCTGTCCAATCTGCTTTGCGCGTAAACGTTTATTCCTCAGAGCACGACGCAGTGGTGCTATCGCAGTTTCTCTCGTTGGCTTAATTCAGCCTTTACGCGGTTTCGTTGTCAACACCTCCGTCCGCCCCCAGGCGGTGCCTTCAACTTCCGGAGGTACGAAAAAACATGTGTCTCGATCGCATGATGTCAGCTGCATGATGTAGCCGTGTTCAGCATGTATCCTATATCTGCCCACGACACTGCTGTAGCTATGCCTACATGTGCCATCTGTCCCCCCCCAACTATGTTCCTCAACAACAATAGAGGACTCCTTTCAATGATGTACCTGGCGTGCTGCTGTGGGATGTATGTTGGATGGTGTAGTCGTCAAGAGCGAGCGCGCGAGAGCGCCGTTGCGCAGCTGAAGGTAGCCTGATTGATGTCCTCTGCATACTAGGAAAAATGTGCTGCTTGGATACAAGCTGTGGCCGTTGCGTTGTGTTGATTCTTTGTGATTATATGCGACAGCTCCAAAATTTGTGATTCCATGATATTAGTCCAGCTATTACTGCTGTATTATTGTATTATTAGAATATTTTCCCAACGCAGAGCTGTTGTGCGCACTCGTACACAAAGCTGTTGTTGCACACCATGGGTAGTGCTCGTGAGGTAATCCCGTGAGTAGGACTGTAGTGCCATGGTTGGAGAATCTGGTATATACTGCTTCTGCATACTCGGAGTACTGATGTAGTGGCAGTTGTCGCGTCGAATCCTTGACATATTTTTATCATGACGCCCCATATCCGTGTGCCGCCGTCGTATTTCTCCGTTGTTTCTCAGTATCAAATGCGCTGACCACGCGGATACATACAGGCCCACGCGAGATGGTGTCGGCTGCTGTAGCGTCTTCTCCCACAGAAGCTGCCGGCGCCACCGATGGCGAAAGGGCAATTATCCTATCGATCACCGAGAGAGCCAGGTAGATACTCACCAGAGTGTGCGCTCCGAATTCTAGAAAAACCGTGATATTCGGCTTGACCAACTATATTAATGTTATCACATTGGAGCAGCCTGATGCCAACCGGCAGAACGGACTGCGACATTTCAATCGTTCGTGATACACACATCATTTTTTCGTGTCGCAAGGCTTGCGCGATCCTACAGTCACGTTAGAACGCTCGTAACTCAGCACATGCCGCGCTCTGTTTTATTCTGTTCTACGCAGGACGGTGACACATGTTGCTGACTCGGGCACGTTGTGTACACTGTCGAGCAGTGGAGAAGCCGGACCGGAAGGTTCCCCTTTCGGCAGCCACGTTGACTACGTCCTCGATGAGCAGGTAAGTCTGTGTGACTGGGTCTGCGGGAGGTGTCTTCGAAAAATCACGATGTCAATGTACTCCTTCAATCGTAACCAGGTCTCACGTGATCTCATCGCCTTATGCGAACATGATCAAGCACGAGCACAAGGAAAGCGTCAACGAAACAGTACTTTCGCCGAGTGCAATCATCGGTCGGAATTTGACACTGGGGGCGCGCAGAGAAAAGGGGGCCAGTCGAGAAGTCTAAAAAGTGATGGGAGGGTACCTCGTAAACTGTACCGCACAGCCCGAAGATACACCACGTATACTCTGGTTATCGGGACAAGTAGATGCGATTTCCACACCCGACCAGCAGGTGCCTCCATAGCGGCACGTCCGTGGCGTTTCGAAGACCGTTGGCGTACGTCCTAGTGGGCTCGTGTGTGTGTGTGACCTCCCCTTAAATGTGCTTGGACCTTCTCTCTTCCTTCGTGCAACATCACCGTGTGTCGGCAGGGCTGGCCAATTTTCCTTCTCGCGGAAGCATCACTCCACACCCAAAACATCAAAGCCAGTAACAGAGTATCGCTGCTATGCCAAACTCCTCGCGAAGCCAATGGTCAACCGGTGAGCCCGAGGTTTTGTTGAGCTGGTCGGTCGCCGCTTGCTGGGTGGCGTGACATGTGTTCCATGCGTCCGATCTGATCAATAAAATCGCTAACGCCATATCCTTTTGGTGTAGAGGTGCACAGTGCAGACAAACCACTAGCTACACTGGGGTCGCAGCGTGCACTTGTTTATGGTTTGTGTAGGCCCTGGTGCGCAACTGCAACACACACGTACCGTCGGTAGAGCACGCGCTTCCTTCTGGCGCTTACACTGCGAGTATGAATCGCTGTTCTCTCTGCGCAACCTTGTTCGTTTGCCCAACACGTTGGCAGCAAGCAGCCCTGGCGCGAGTGACCCTTGTTGGTGCTATCGTGGACGTGGACGATGACGACGAGCTTATCCAACTCAAGTGAGAGCTTGCACGAATCACACGTGCCATAATATGTGGTATGATACCTATTAGCAATTACCGAGGGGGCTGGCGAATGGCCTATCACCAAAAAAATCAAGTCTGCCACGTTCTCGACTTGTGGGCTCTTGTTCCCATGTCTTCCTGGTATACTGTATGCTCCTCATATTTTTGGCCCCATACGTGGCCCATTTTCCCAGGGCTTCATTCTCCCTGGTGCACACTTACGCTGACCAGCTGACGCAGTCACCGAGATTCAAGTTTTACAAGGTATGTGCCTGGGCAGCGGCAGCAGTACGTGGGGGCATGGATATCACGTCGAGGTTCTGTACATGTTTTGACGCAGTGGGATCAATTGTACCCTGCTCGCCAGTGGATTTGAGCCCTAATCACCGCTTCAGACCATTCTAGTCCTCTCAAGGAGGGTATATGTGAACTTGTTGTGCTTGCTGCTGTACTGCCAAGACAGCACTCGGAACTCATTTGGCATGTATTTGCGACCCCTTGTTGCTATTTTGGGACGACGTTTTTGGGGCTACTGCTGTGGGTCACTGTCTCACCGTCGTCTCATTTTCATCACACATTTGCACCACGTTGAAGCTCAAGCCGGATAAAGTGTACTACGTGGGCGGGTTCGGAGTGTTGTCCAAGTGGCTGCCTGTCAGCGAGTACGAGGTGAGTTGAGCAGTTTGCTGTGGGCTACGTCGATAAAAACCCGATTGGTGAGCAGTCCACACTGGTTTCTTTCAGCGTTGCGTTTTCGTTTGACGTGATGGCGCGCGTGGAGTGAAAATTGTTCCTGCTCTGTTGGATTGCATGCCATCACACAACACTATTTGCCGGTTCGCGCATCGCGGCCGTTGTAGTTGAACTTCAACCGAGAGCATGCACACATGCAGAGGTTGGGCTGTGAAAGCGTTCTTTGAAAGAGAATGTTCGTTTGTTGCTTGCTCCTTGGCAGACGGCGGAACCAGACATTTTGGCAGACGAGGCCTCGTCAATTGTGTCCAAGATCAACAACGGCAAGTGAGTGAAACCACGCCGGGGGTGTATTTCATTGGAGTGACCAAACCTGGTGAGCACGAGTTTAAAGGCCCAAATTGACACCAAAACTGTGGCGTCCGCGTCGTCTTGTGTAACGGAATGAGAATTCCTTTGCCAAGTATTTCAAAGGTTTTGTGAATCCCTCGCGCCACCAAATGCTTAGCACTGCATGCAGTTGCTGCTTACCTGTGGTCAAGATACAAAACATTGCATGCGTTGCGTCCGTATTCTTTGAAATATAGGCAAGAGGACCTTCAGACTGTCTGCAAGCACTTTCTCAACAAAGCCACCCCGGACACGGTAGCAGTCACGACCGTGGACCGTCTCGGGTTAGACTTGAGAGTCAAAGCCAGGGACTTGACGGATGAGTTCAGGATCGGTTTCCGGCAACCGGTGAGCAACCCGCGTCTTTGTTGTTTGTCGTGCTCTTTTCGTTGTCAAGTGCTTTTTATTTTCTCGATCGCTGTGGCCACGTGCTCACTGCTTTGTTACTTGCAAGCTTTGCTGCTGTGCACTGTATTGTGTCTTCTTGCAATTTCGTAATTTCCTCTCATTTCATCGGGTCGTGGTCGACGTCTTGTCGCTGCTGCTGCTGCTGCTGCTGTTGCCGTCTTGACAATCTAAACCTTCGTGACCTCTATCCAGTACCTGTTCTTCTCCTACTCTTGAAGGCAAAGAAACGAATTCCATTATCACAATCCTATCCTAACCCAAGAGAGGCGTGAGCGGAAAATCATAGACTTGATATGCCACTGCGATGGATCCACGTTAGATATGGGAAATCAACCTAGGCCGTTTTTACCCAGTCGGAATTGGAGCTTGGAAATGTGGCGTTCCCGGCTCCGACAAAACCAACAGATTGCTTCTTCTTACGGCTTCTAATGCTGTAGTCGATTTGATTTTAGCCTATCGACCAAAAAAAATTACTGTTTGAGAAGTATATTTTCTGTTTGTTTCGCTTGCTACACCGGTTTGGTTTATCGGGGATCCCTCCCGACTGGCTGAAGCAACAGCACAATAAAGCCTCCCCGCGCAGCTTTTCGTATGGTGCTTGTTGTGGGGTGGTTATTAAGAGACCGCGAGGCGCTGGGAAGTTGAGCATTGGATTTGTCGTTGGGTCGACTGCTGTTGGCAAAAAAACACATTCCACCTCTGGGTACAACATTTTTGCCTTGTCACCGGTTTGAATTATAACCACCTTGTCTTCAACTGAACGAATCTACATCTATGCGTATGTATGACAAAGCCAGCCGCCCGTAGCTGTGTTCAAGGTGATTTTTTGTGTGGCGGCTATTAGAGACTAATAGAGAGGGCAAGGCGCTTGGGGGGCTGATATTGTAAATTGCCGAGGGTCGAGTACAGTTCGGAAAAAGACCTATCGCTGCTGCTGGCGGCTGCTTGCCTTGTCGCTGGTTTGAATATGACGACATCCCAAATCTTCCACCAGTGACGAAAGCCCGCTGAACTGTGTGTATGGTATCTATGTTATTTGCCCTTTGCTCTAGCGATTGAAGTTTGGCAGTCACCGTCTTGTTGCGAGATGTTTTTGCGGAGCCCCCAGTTAAACTTTTCCAACACCGCACAACAACTCTCGCGTGAAATTATTTCCAAGATGTCCAGTCAGGAATGGGATCTGGAAAATGTTTTCAATGATATCCATATTTCCAACTGTATATTGGTCAATTTTTAGGCCTAAGCCAAAGAGTCGAATGTCGAAGTTGCATTTCCGATGGGTAAAAAACCTTGTCCGGACAGACACATGGGTTGGGTCGTGGTGTACGTAGGGGCTGTTTTTACAGGGCGGTTATTTTTGTTACCCTGCGGGTCCTCGTACGTGTACCAGGTCGTTTATGTGCGTTCGATTAATAAGAGCACAGGAGGATGTGGGGAGTTCAAATACTTACACTGGTTGAAACTATTGATTGCTGGACTATCCTCACTTTTTTTTAAATCGATTTACGATTTTTAAGTCCGGGATATCCTGGCTCTGGCTGGGCTTGAGTTGCCCCTTCGGGTGCCCTCCGCTCTTTTTATCATTGGCCTCTTGGGTTCTGGCGGGAGGGCTTGCAATTGGTGACTCGTGGAACTCGCACAGGTGTCTTTGATATTACAACAGACCAGGGAGATTGACGTCACTGACACGAATCTTGGCGTGTTGGACCGCAACATGCTCATCTGGATCGTGACTATAAATATGGGAACAGGTTTCGTCGGTGGAGGACGCCAAGAGCGAAATCGTCAAGATTTTCCAGGAAGCATGGGAGAAGGAGAATGGCTTTGAGTGGGAGGACCAGGGACCGCCCATCCAACGATACGCCGAAGACATTTTGAGAGCGTAGCGCATACATCCCATCGTGGGGGGTATATGCAAGCGCGCCTGCACGCAATAATGCACGCATATTTTATTCTCTTGGCGTCAATGTCGAGTTGTTGTAACCAGTTGCTTTTAGCATTGCATCGCGGGCCGCCATGTCTCTACATGTCCTGTGAGCGTTTAATGCGAAGTCCAATCTTTGGACCCAAACAAGTCTGTCCACTTATCCGCTTGGGGTTACAAAAAAAAACCGCTAAAACATGGTACAACAGCACATGCGATCGAGCAGCCGTAATGTGGTTTTGCCCGTTTTATTGAGGCACAGATTCCAGTTTTTCAGCGCCTCCCATGTAAGGCCGAAGAACATCCGGAATACTGACAGACCCATCGATTGGGTTGTAGTAGTTCTCCAGCACGGCCACAAGCGCACGGCCAACAGCAACTCCTGATCCGTTGATGGTGTGGCACGGCAAGTTGCGTGACTTCTTTTTCTTGGCTGGCAAGGTGTAACGTAAGGCGAGTGCGGCATCACCGGGCACGAGATAGAGGGGCGATGTTGAAACGAGCTAAATTCAAGTACAGCATGCTCGGTTCACGTTGCTTTCTCTCGTGATTAGTTTGATGCACCTGGCAGCATCGTGAACCCGACGCAAAAACTACCCTAGTATTTACCTCACAGATAATGTAATGCACAAGAGCCTGCTGCGGCGCACACGGCCTGTCACAGCAGATTGTAGCGTCCAAAGAAGACCGAACAACCACTCGGGTGCCTTTCTCGCGCGTACCTTCTGGCGTCGGTTCTCGGTAGCGTAGATTCATGCGACGCGCCTGGAAGTCTTGGCAATTACTGCACGACGAGATTTCCCTGAAGGCGCCTTGTCCGGGCATCCAAACTTCCAAGTCGTAACACAGACGTGCACCGAACCCGATGTCACCGCTGCACAACGATACTCTTCGAAAAGGTAGCTTGAGCGCCTGGAATAAATTCGCGTATGCGAAAGAAATTTGGGTCAGCGATCATCAATACTCCACAAGTCACAAGTAGACGGATAGTTGTGCCGGGTTGAAATGCCGCTACGCAACATTTGCAACTTCTTCCAGCTCTTCCAACGGTTAGGTTACATACAACAGAGCGGGTGCGCCGCGCCCTCATTCAACAGGAGCACCTCTCAATGGGCATCGGTAACGAGCGCTTGCGTGCGTGGGATACCGCAAAGCGCTGTGAGAACGTACCGGGGTGCCATGGAGGTAGGTTGTAATCAACAAGTATTTTTTTCAGAGGGGAAGACAAGTGATGATGACGCTATTATAGCTCATTTTCATAACTGTAATCCAATATGAAGCAAGAGAGCAACCGCCGGAGGGATCTGTTGCTTCTACTGTAATCAGTAGAAGACACCATGAAGAGGCGTCGTGCGTGCTGGCACGTTCAGGTTTGCTACTCGAGCTGAATAATCGAAGGTCGCAGCAGCCTCTGAGGACTGTCCGAAATCCGCCCGGAACCAAGGCGAATCCAACATTTGTCACAGCCGTGCTCATCGCCACGGACCGTAAACCACTGAACTGTGGGTCGTCAGCAGAAGCTAGTAGCATCAGCTACGCTGTAAACCCGCAGTTCAGGAGATTGGGCTCAGTGGCGGGCGAGCCCAAGATGTACAAGCCACTGGGTGTCAGTCTAATTTGTGGAGATTTACGGAGATTGCAGGCCACTACTACATGCACGACGCTCGATATCACCACCACAGAACAGATTTGAGTGCGCCAATACACACACCCCGCTGCCATAGGGTGCCTTCCAGTGATAATAGTACAGGAGATCAGATTCACAGCAACACCGACCTTGTTTGAAGCGCCTGCCGTTACGGCTCTTTGACTTGAATTTGGCACAGCGTGAATTTTTATCTTGATTTCAAAGGAGGCGTGCGTAGGTAGACGGGTGAAATGAATGTTTGAGCAGCCTCTACTGCCGCCGTGAGCGAGAATCAACGATTTCTATTTTTCGCGATGCCTTCCGATCGGTCTTCTGTCTGCCATCCCTGAATAACTCTTCTGTGCCGATTCGATGCCCAGGTACAGAGTAACGTCCACGTGCGTTAATTCGATGCCCAGGTACAGAACAACGTCCGGGTGTGTCATCAAAGCGCTCTACGGGTATTGCTGAAACTGGATTTTCCGATTAAAACAACTTTTACGAGGTTCACAACCACCGAATCGATGTTCGCTCAGAGGCGCGGGTGGGACTTGTTGGCAAGCGTGGCAAACATGTCCTTCCCGTTCACACTTGTTCGAAGTAGATGAGCGGCAGTATCTTCTCACTGGTGTTTTCGGACTCATTCAGCTGGACTTAAATCGTGCGTGAGAGAGTTGGGGCGGCTGCCTTTGAACATCGACCAAAAGAGGTTCTCCATTTTTATTGGTCACCTTTTCACTTGTACCATTTTTCACCCGACCACAAACTGCCACATGATTCTGAGCACATGCGTGGCTAGGCCTAGTCGCTCTGGTTCTCAGAGCTCTTTACTTTGACAGCCCTGCAAGCACGGGGTGTTTTTCGTGAGACCTGTACGTTTGGATCAAGAAGAAAGAGGTGGAAGAGTAGGAGAAAAAGAAAGATCAAACTTGCTAATCCGGGCGAAATATGGCCTTGTCACCTCCACACGCGCTCCAACTACCTGGCGCAACGACCACAATGAAACGTAGGGAGGACCACCACGGTTACAACAGACACGTGTGTCACGTACTTTTAATTACCCATGTAGGCTGTACTGGCTGCGTCCGCCGTCAGTAAATATACCCTACAGTGACAAGGCAGTGACCAGTGCTCAATAAGTTCTTTTTTTCAGGGCCAAAGAGATAAAAAGGTGCCCGTGACCGAGATACCGCCGCGAGGGCGTGGCCGCAGCGTGTGTGAGGCGAGGCGAGAGCAGATGGCACGGGGAAAAAAAACGCTTGAGTTCATTCGTTGTTTTTTACTCTGAACACATACAACCTACATTATAGAGAGGGGCTTGATAATCGCAGCCCAGCGCACTCACCTTCAAAACGGCCTCTGCGTGCTGCGTCAGTGCCTCGTGCTCGTTGCGACTATCTTCAGGCGTTGTGAACTTCACCAACTCCACCTTGAACGTGCGCCATTAGCAACGGCCGAAGGGTACGACGAGGACGGGCCGCCTTAGCTCATGTTGTTTTGATACGTTCATTTGTGTAGTCGGGTCATCAATATTTGGAATTACCTTCAAAAACTGATGCTGGCGAAGTAGCCCGCGGGTATCCCGTCCTGCTGATCCCGCCTCCGCTCGAAAGCAAGGTGTAAGAGCCACCAAAGACATCGGCAGCTGCACATAAGGTACGGCAAAGACAACGGAGGGTACCACACAATTACAATTACCAATCGTCAATGGAAAAACATTTTACCTCTGTAAAAACGCAATGTTTTGCCTTGCAGAGCGATTGCAGTTCATCAGTAATTGCGCTACAAAAAAAGCCACGTGGGTGGATATTTTGCAGCAACCGCCTGGTCAGAACTAATCAACCGTGAACGTCACACTTCAGCGAAGGACAATGCTCCTTGGTATTTAAAGAATGATGCCCGGAAGGCGAAACACACGATGCAGTCTTCCTGGAGGAAAAACAGTGTTTCATCTAGAGGGCGATCGCACCCAAGTGAGGCAAGCGATACGAAGGCGAATCAACATCCAGTCTGCCACATGATTACTGGGTTCATGTGCTTTTGATGAAGAGCATTGTTCGAACCTGAGCTTTGTCGAGAAGCTGGCCTCGGAGAAGATTGGTCAAAGGAACTTCGCCGGTTGGAATCAAGAAGCTATCCTCATTCGCCACCAGATGGTTGGTTTTGAAGAGATCTTCTTCAAACTTTGGCAGCTGTCCCGTTCCTTCCAATGAGCTCCGTGTCACCAGTAGCGGGAGAGACACCTCTGTGTATCCATGCTCCGTCCTGTCGTAAACAAAAACAGCCGGTGGCACAAGACATACATGTACACTCGTGTAGGGCAGGTGGCAAAGAGACCCAACGGCTCTTCTCTATCATCACTCGCATTCCCGAATCTCGAAAACCGCCCTACCCCAACCTACCGGTAAACTTAACCCCAATTGGCACCGTACTACAACCAACAAACTCACAACCAAACTCACGTGTGAACATCAAGCAGCCACTGACCCAGAGCACGCTCCAAACGCGCGAGCGGGCCTTTCAAAACAGAAAACCTCGCACCAGATATCCTCGCCGCTCCCTCAGGATCCCACCCTCCTAATTTTATCGCCACTTCGTCGTGCCAAAGATATTCCTGAGCAGCCAACGTCGGTTTCAGACGAGTTAATCCCTCCACCCAAGAACTTGGCAAATGACAGAGTGAGGTTCAAAAAGTTCGCGTTTCAACCCTTTTTTTTGTCACCCAAATAGACGCCCTGAAACACCGAAGTTGAGGGGGGCAAAGACGCTGATTGGAAAACACGGGAAAAGACGATGAGGCTCTTGCTGCCCGGAAAAGCGGGACTTACGCATCGTGTGCAGCAAAAAACATTGGCAAAAGGGATTTTTTATTTTTGCAGAATCGAAGTACCCGAGTTGGCGGTAAAAGTTAGGCTGCTGTGCACTGCCGCCGTGCACAGGCTGCACCTGCCCAAGAAATGTTCCGAGAAATGATATTCCAAAATGGAGGCCACCATTTTCGACCAAGCCGTGACAAGCTCTACTTGAAGTGTAGTTTGAAGATTGCTGTGCGCACGACACCGGCAGCAACCCCCGCCCCGCTTTTGGTCGGGATCGAAAGGGAGACGCACTACACCAGGAGGGTGCTTTGTGCTACATGTTATGCGGAGACGTGGCTGCTTGGTTGTCGCGTATTGCGAGGGTGAGGTGCACCACGTCAGCGGCTTGCCGCATCTGTGAATGGCCTACTCTGTCAATAAACTGGGCCGTGATAGGTGGAGTCCTCGTAGATCTCGGAGACCCGACTTTCTGCCGTCGCTACAGTTCGTCTCGGGAGCGCGCGGCACGGCGGGAGGGCTCTCGCGACACAGGACTATCCGTAGATGCAAGTCTCGCTGCGAGGCGAGGTCTACGGTGGAGAAACCGCAAAAAAAGGGCTCCAGGCTCACGAGAGCATCAGGATTGCCGTTCCTGCAATGCCGTGAGCTCTCAGCCCTTAGGAAAACAGTCTATAGGTCTATAATTATTGAGTTGAGCTACCGCTTTGCCAGTAGTCGGTGTGTGGTTTGTGGCTAATCTGCCAGTGTCTTGCCCGATGTACGAGGTATAATGAGCAGCCGAGCCCATGGCGTTCCCGGTACAGCAGCAGTGTGCAAACCTCAACATAGAGACTGCTCGACACCCATGTATGTGTGATGTGTGATTCGCAAAGAGAGACACAACTGTAACGCACTTACCTCCCCGTTCTTGATGTATTCCTGCCCCCATTCAGCCACAACAACGTTCTCCTCCTCCCCGTCACCGTCTGGCACCCGTGAGTCCAGCAGGTTTGGCAGGCGCATCAATAACGTGTTCAACTCGCTGTCCACCTGGACACGAGGCAAACCAAACCCCACCGACGATATAACGAACAGTGCGCACAGTGCTGGTCCAGAATCGGAAGGGGTCAGGAAAAAAAAACTTGAATCAAGCCTAGAATGGCGAATTAAATGCACCAGTTGAAGGATCACCGGCCACTACGAAGGGATTCATTGATGGCATGGAATGTTGGGCAAATCCGCAAAATGTGATCCAGATGGGAGCGAGGCACATACTATCACAGATTCGTCCCACCAGGGCACACAGTTTGAATAGCTTTGGTGTGACACGCTCGGTGGTATAAATGCGCCCATGCTTTCGCATCGAAGCCAAACGTTTTAGTCCACCTCGTTCAAATCTTCTTCGGCAGAGCCAGCGATCTTGTTGATACTCTGTACTTCGTTCTTCTTTTCCTCGGCCTCTTTGGCCTGTCCTGCCTTCATCAGCTTGCCGATCTGTAAGCCAAACCAGCAACAGAGACGACACAGGGGAGACGAAATTCACGGACATTTACAAGATGGTTGTGACGAGAGTAGTAGGGATTGCCGTTAGGTGTTATAACAATTAGTGGCACCAATTTTTGTGTATTGTCCCCATCTAGTCTGGGCGCCAGTCCATACCTTTCGGCAAGTGCTTGATGAACCAGCCCAGGTCGCACACGAGGAAGGAAAACACAGAAGACGTTCTGGGTCTCCACGTTTGCTTGAGGATTGTTGTGTTGTTTGTACTCACGACGTTCACCCCGGAGAGATTCGAACCCACACACAGACTTGAGCCAAATGAATTACGAGGGTACCAACTGCACCACTTCAGCCACTGCTGTTGTGTACCCGAGCTCTTGATCATAAACAATTAACACTAGATTCGTATTTTTCCTCTACGAGACGTTACGGTCTCTACAGGCTTCACAGAACGGAATAAAAAAAGTGTCTGTCTGTCGCCGTTCACTCCGAAGCTCCGAACCACGCACGTTTTTGACCCGAACGCCCGAGGCGAGAAAGCAGCCTCATCGGTCGTCCTGCACTACTTTAGACGCCCTCGGCAAGTTTCAGCTTGATTGGTTCCTCCTGCGTGAACGTTTGACTGTGTCGGTGACCGGCCTCTTCAAGCACGAAAACACGTGCATGCAGCAGGTGCTCCCGGCACCAAATTGCTCCGATCTCGATGAATTCGTGCCTAAACGGTGCCTATCCGCCACCAAATTGAAGCCCCGTCCAATCTACAGCTGGATTGACAAGTCCTTCGACGCTGGAATAGCTGTGTGTCTGCCAGTCTTGCCTGCCAACGAGAGGTTCGGGTCACATCGCTGCAAACTCTCGACGAGGAAGTAAGTTCACCGCATTTTTTTCGCACGAACATCAACAACTGGACAACTTGATGATTGATGACTCTCAATTTTCCTCGTCGGAACACATCCATCCATGCATCCATCCATTGTGTACAATACGTCCGAACTGGCCCAATTTGAGCGTACGAATAGTGGCCTCCCTACCCGGGAATACCCTTCCAACGACAGGGTCGGGGTACACATCTGTCACCTGCCCCACGGAGACAGCGCTGCCACCTTACCCGCGCAGGATGTTCCGCCGCATTTCGACAGTTACTATTATTCTGTTTAATGGCGGGCGCATACCATGCACCCCTGTATTGTTGTTGATGACTTCGTTCTTGTCGGAACACATCAATCCATTGTAGTTAATCCTCCACTAATTTGAAACCCCGACCAATTTGCCGTTGGATTGACAAGTCCTTCGATGCTGGAATAGCTGTGCGTGTGTGTGTGTTTTCCCGCCAACGACAGGTTCGGGCCCCACCTCTGCACCCTGAAACCTCCGACGAGGAAGTATGTTCCACCGCATTTTATTTCGCACGCACATCAACAAGTTGACAACCGTACAACTTGATGATTGATGACTCTCAATTTTCCTCGTCGGAACACATCCATCCATGCATCCACAGTACAACAACTCCGATCTCGACCAATTTGCGCGTGCGTTCGTGGCCTCCCTGCCCGGGATTATTTTTCCAACGACAGGGTCGGGGCACACATATGCCACCTGCCCCGTAGAGACTGCGTATTTCGCGGAGTTCGTTAGTTCCAGTTGCATTTCGTTATTCTGTTTTTAACGTGTGCGCGCATAGAATGTTTGTTGATTCCAGCAGTTTTTGCAGTCTGTTAGTGACTCTTCCTATCTAACGGCTTTTACGCCCTCTGATTGGTCCGGCGTTGGTTCCTAGCCTTGACCCTCTCCAGCACCCTCTCGCCGTTCCGCATTCCGAGAACGCGGCGCAGCCGCGTTCTCGACCAGTTCGCGGCCGCTAGGCCGTGCTTTGGCCGTGGGTGAGGGTTAGGGTTAGGGCTAGGGTAGATGTGGGGTGAGGAACCTAGCCTTGCTCGCGTGAGGAACCTAGCCTTGCAAAGTGCAACATCGGTTAGTCCTAAAGAGTCACTAACAGAGTGTAAATAGACCTCGTTGATTCTCCTCGGAACACATCAATCCATTGTACAGCAGTTTACCTCCGATCTCGACATGTTTGCGCGTATAGTTGCCTACCTCCCATGAAGTTGAGAGTCCCGCTGTCCAACCTACATACATACATGCTTCGAGACCAGCTCTTGTTTTTTGTTCTGTTTTTTTTCTAGTTATGGGTTCTGTGGCGAGACTGTCAGGAACGATCCTCAGGATGGCCAAACTCAAAATCTGGTTCCATGAGAGAATTTTCGAGTCCGAATTCGTCTACAGCAGTTTACACTTAACACCTTCAAAAAAAAAACTCGTAGAGGACCAGCGCGGTTGCCCGAGGCAAGCTGCGATACAATTTTGGAAAGTAGACCTGTTCTCAAAGAAACCCGTTTGAGGTATAACCCCAGTCGAAAGGGATGTGTTGAAGCCTTTTCATCTGCTCGTCTGCTGATGGGCTCGTGGTCGGGCTACTACGTGTAGTCACACCCAAACCAGCGGCTGTTGCAACCGGGAGTACGTACTGCGACGTACAGCAGTACCAAGTACCAAGCTGGTCGGAGATCGGAGGTCGCATTTGTGATTTCATGGTGGTAACAGCAAATCGCGACACTTTCGTCATGTTGCAGCCGAGTAGACTGAGACTGGTGTACAGTAGGCACGGCTCATCGTCTCAACTCGCCTGAGCTGACATTGCGTTCCGCTGTTTGAGAGCATCCTCCTTGGTCATGATGAGCTCGCGTCGATTGTCCATGAGGTCTGCGCGGAGAGAACGTATTTCAACGGCGTTAGGAGAGACGCATGCCTGGTCTCAACGTTTACAAAGTAGCGTATTTTGCTCGCGAACAAACCCCGAGCGAGCTGGAGGGTTAGAGTTAGCTAGTGCTGTAGCAGTTACATACGGTGAGTGCAGACTGTTCTCGGGTGTAAATGTGGGTATCTATAGAAGTAGAGCACAGCCGTAGATATATTTTGCCACATCAGCAGTGCAGCATTGTGGGACGCACCTCCTATCCTATGTACAGCTTCCACGCTATCTTCACCCATCCGCCTAGCTTTCATATGGTCCACCACAAGATCTGGGTTCGTCGAGATCAGCACGCTGTCCAGAGAGGCATCGTCAGCGTTACTCCGGGAGAGTGACTCATGATCTTTCGTCGTCTGTTCAACTTGCGCGCTTGAATGCAGCGCGGCAAACTGCTTGGCACCCGTTCGAGCGAATCGTGCGCCACCATAGAGGAAGGAACCGCATCGCGTCGTTGCGAAAGTGGCCACCGCCATCACTCGTGCGCACGGCGTTATCATTGCAGCGTTGAGATAGGACGGCCGCCTACTGCTGTGCACTGCGGTCACCCTGTGATCATGCCGCCGGGGATTCGCAGGATGCTCCAGTTTCCCCCCGGGGGAGTATGATAAAAAGACGCGCACGGCACCCCCAACCCACTGCTCGGCTGTGGCTGGTCTGTGCTACCATCCCTGATCCATCGACGCCCTTCTTCAACGCCGCGTAGCGCAAAACGGAGTCACCATGTCAGACGTCAATGAACTTTTGATTCAACCCCTACAAAAGTTCTCCAAGGACTCGATGCACCTCATCAAAAAGTGCACAAAACCCGACCGAAAAGGTTAGTCGAACTTTCGTTCTGTTTCGTCGTCTGAGGTGTGGTACGGGAGCGTTTGGACGTTTGTTGTAGTTGCACCGAAGGCCTGTTCATAGCCCATCGACACCGCCCGGCATCGGTTCCCCCGTCCAGTGCCACCAATGGAGTCCATGCGAGTGACTGGGTAGGGGGGGGTTGGGTCGTTAGGCTCCGAAAAGAGAAAAGAGACACCCAGTGTGTGTGCGGTGTGCGGGCCTCGTCGCTCCTGTGTTGTGAACAAAGCACAGGTGACCAACCATCATCGGACGATCACTGAGACAGCAGTAGACTACCTCCATAGGGCCAGTGCCCCAATGATGGTGTTCGTGTCGTATTGAACGGCGTCCGGTACGTGAGACATTATTTTCTCCGCGTAATGTAACGGTGAAAAGCAGATGCCATTATTTTATGTCAAGACAAATCGACGATTCGTATTGGCGACGTGCAGACTTCCGCTCCGCTGGCCACATCAGTAGGTGACATAAGATACCACTTCTCGGTGTGATACCATCGTGAGATTTAGACTAAAGAGTCAATCACAAAGGGTGCGGTGTGTGGTATTCTGTAGGGGGTGCGGTGTGATGTGGCTATTATGTGTGATGAAGTACACTCACAGGCCCCCCATCCGGCAGGTACGATACGTATCACGGTGTGATAACCTCAGCCATAGTTCACTCACACGACTAAGAACGGGGTGCGACTTGCTTTTCGGTTAAGGCGGTGGTGCGGGTCTCAGCAGTATGTGTGGTGTGATGCATGGCTGGTGAGGGAGTCTCAGCAGGTACTGCTCTTGTCCAGAAAGGAATGCCGTGATTGAGCGTGTAGAGTGGAGGCACCATAGGAGTCTGTCTGACCCACGACCGTCTAAGCCGTATGCTCTCAGTTGGGGTTGTACTCCATCCACGGCGGTATTTATTGATCTTCATGGCTTGTGAGCACGGAAGGCATCGGCGTCAGTTGTACCAGTACGGACATTAGAAGGTACTGAGCGGAGACCGGAACGGTTTTCAATGTGA